TGCCAAGCTGATCTTGCAAAAATTTGCATATGCCCAATCACTCTCGCCAATTCTCCTAGTTCTAAGACTGTGTTTTTCTTAAATTAAGGTGTCAGTGTGGCCATATTTGTTTTTCCTTTCCTTTCTTTCACTCATTTTGCATGTCAGGCATATACGTACTCACTTTGCCACATGAGTTAACTCGTCTTCTCCTCTACATAGGCTTCATCAGATCCAAAAACAAAAGAAAGAAATATGTGTGTGTGCATTTGTGTGTATGCTTAAATAATGAATTATTAATTCTTTTTCCCTAAGATGGCATTTCTCATGATGAAAAAAAAGATTGAAAATGAGTGACTTTTAAAAAAAGCCATTAATATTTATTCTGTATTTTTTCTTTATAATTCTTAGTTCATATTTTAAATACATATTGACACGGAAAACACATGGTGAAACCAAAAACATATAAACTCCTTGTGACACCAAAGATGAACTGAAGGCAAGGATCATGGCAGCATTCACCAACTTAAACAAGAACACCGTCCAGAACAGTTGCAGGAGATTCCCAAGTTTTCTGGAGGCTGTGGTTGAAGCCAATGGTGATTTTATTGAATAAATTTACTCTTTAGTATTTCAAGATATTTTGTGTAATTTTGGTAAACAGCATATCTGTTAAAATGAGACGTCAGTGTTATTTTCATTTTTACATAATTTAGTTGACAATTTATACATTGCACCTTATATATATATATATATATATATATATATATAATTATTATTTATAAAAAAATTTATAACATAAGTATGTTATAAAATCACTACAAAAATAGCCATTTTGTTTTAACACACTCGGTGTCTTATCAAGTGATGATGTTGAAGATAAAACCATTTATTTTATCTTCAAGATCATCACTTGATACACCGAGTGTAAAATGGCTATTTTTGTAGATTTTTATAACATAATGTTATAAATTTTTTATAAATAATAATTATATCTGCTCTACTTTGTATTGAGCACTCTTTAAGAATAGTAATTGTTGGTTATTGGAATTCATTCTGTATATACCAATTATATACTTGTATATATATATATATATATATATATATATATATATAAAGACATTTTATTTATATTATACATTCTTTTTTATAGATGCAAATATTTAAGTAAATAATCTGTTTATTATAAACAGTGAATTTACTTAAATATTTGTATCTATAAAAAGAATGTATAAACATAAAAAAAATGTCTTAAAATAATTGTCGGACTTTGTCCATCTCATAATATATATATATATATATATATATATATATATATATATATTTGACAAATGGAAAAACACTTCATTGAAACTAGATTTGGTTATACATTTTGCCTTTCTAGGTTTCATCTGATCCAAAAACAAAAGAAAGAAATATGTGTGTGTGCATTTGTGTGTATGCTTAAATAATAAATTATTAATTCTTTTCCCTAAGATGGCATTTCTCATGATGAAAAAAAAGAATGAAAATGAGTGACTTTTAAAAAAAACATTAATATTTATTCTGTATTTTTTCTTTATAATTCTTAGTTCATTTTGAAAATTATAGATTTTCCCAGCTTTCACACATGCACAAATTTCTTTCTTTCGTTTTTTGACCTGATGAAGGCTAGAAAGGTGAAACACGTAATCAAATGTGGTTTCAATGAAATGGTTTTCCGTTTGTCATATTGTTTCAAAAAATTTATTTTTGTCTTAAAGTTATTGCTTTACCCTTTATTTTTACCTCACAAATAAATGAAAATAATTTTGTCACTGTACTACAGGAAAAATATTAAAAAATCAATTATCACTGTCATTTTTTTTATTTTTATTTTTGAAGACTGAGGGAAAATAGTTTAAGAGAAAAATTATTTTATTTCTAAGTGTATAATAAATTTTATATAAGCTAAAATCTGTGTATTAGTAGGATTATAATAGTATCCAAAACAAAAGTGGAAAACTGTTTTTTGCTGGAGAAAAGCTTAGCTTATATTCTCTTTGACGTCATCAGTTCCCACTCTGTCTTATCATCTTCACAGTAAAACTCCTCCTCAGTCTTTTGAATAGGAGTAGAGGTGTATCCTTTGTTTCCTGTTTAGGATTGGGTTTCCAATTTCTTCTAAATTCTATTCAACTCTATACACCTATCACCTCTGACTGATCTCTGACCAATTATTAATTTATTTTCTTCTTTCCCAATAAGAGTAGCTAAGTTCACCTGTTGTCTGGTTCACACTCCACCCTGGTTTTTGAATAGGAGTAGAGGTTTATCTCTTGTTTTCTGTTTAAGATTGGGTTTCCTATTCCTTTTAAAGTTTTTTTTCATTTTTTTTTTCCCTTCCAGTAGCCCCTTGCGTTTTAGTGGCATTATCGCCTTGCTTGGGGTGAAAATGATTAATAAAAAAAAAACATGTATTCTTGATTTTCGTACTCAAAACAATTCCTGAATATCAAACACTGAATTAACTCCCTTTACTTAGCCTCATATTCTGTGCATTCTTTTGGATTTAAAAAGCCATGCATCCAAAATGAAACAAATAATGATGTCCAAAATACAATATAATTTATTTCTTCTATATTATTTTAGCAGCTACATTATCTTTGTGTAAAAAAAAATCACAAATATATTTTACATTGGCTTTCCAAAAGCTAAGCAGTGTACTAGGAAACAGAAAAATTTCATCAGAAACAAGGAAAAGAGTACCAAACAAAGGTTTAATGAAGAAGGAGGGCTTGGAGAATCTGATACTCACGGAGCATATTGAGGGCAAGAAGGACAGAGGAAAACAATGCATAATATATTGAGGAGCTTGAGTAAATGGATGACGGAACAGGGTTTAGGAGAGATAACAGAAAGACAAAGTTTATTAAGATCTACATGGGAGAGGAAGTTGTGGATAACCATTATCGTCTACGTCCTGAGGTGACGCATAAAGAAGATGAATGAATGCCTTGTTATCACCATCTTGCATATGAGGTCAAATAAAGAATGCAAAAAAAAAAAAAAAAAAAAAAAATCTAAGGGAGATAATTCAGTGCACGGTTTAGTTCTAAGGGAGGTAATTCAGTATCTACCAAACACGAAGGAAATTATTAATGATTTCCTTCATTTCCCCACATCAGCATATATTCGTTTTTTTTTGTTTTTGTTTTTCTTTTTTCAAACTAATGATTACCCATACAAAGTGTGAGAGCCGCTTAAGGTAAAGGGGTACTATACAGAGTTGTATGAGAGTAAGAGAAGGCGAGAAGTGCAGTTTATAGGGTTATGCAGCAAAGATAGCAGTTAACCCTCGATTTGAAGATTAATTGTAAAGGATCAGGAAAAACATCCTGTTGGGAATCTGTTCCATCAGCAGACATCAATATTCGTAAAAATTGTTCATTCTTTAATAGTCAGTTGTGCTTAGTTTATTTTTATTTGTAATGTATATAAATGTAGGTAGAAAAAAGCAAATGTTTATAAAATAGCAAGGGTACCAAAGTACTGCCCAGGGCCCCCAATCAGGCTTGCCCCACCCCGTGTTTTGGGTGTAGTACACACCAGCCCTGTGCAAGACAAAAGTAGCCATAGCAACAATAATAAGGTAAAAATTTCACAAACTAAGAATGGTATTAACACACAAAAGAGGATACAGACAAGCAATCACAGCATTCTGACTTTGAGACAAGAAAGAACAGAACTGAGTCAGATGAAACCAAGAAGTGGCCTATCTTATTGGCTAGGAAGAAATCCCAGCATGCATCTGTATGTTTTATTTATAAATTTTGGGAGGAGGTTATTTTTGCAGTCATTCCTATGTCAATTGGAATCAACTCACTTTTATACCAAAATCTATGCAAAGTCCTCATTTGTCTGCCTTGATAGAGTTCAAAAGTGTCTTCATGGTCTTGTAGGTGATGAATAATTTTCTACCTATTTCGCACGGATAAAATGTTGCAAGCCTCACACTATTCTTTTGGATTTTCCATTAGTCTCTATTGTAGTTGTAAATTCTTTATCTTATCCCTTTTCATATTTATTCTGTAACATGCAGAATTGTGGCCAAATGATTTTCTAAGCATAGATGTGGCACAATGCCAAAAGAAGTATGGGGCACCCAGTGAGGATTGAACTCACTATTCAGTCGTAACTGTTTTATCAAGACAAGCTTGCTAACCATTACACCATGCTGAGGTTCCCTTATCTCATCTCTTCTTTATTTGAATCTCACATTGTTTCAAAACATTTATTTCATTGCATCTCACTTTAATTAAAACTTTCTAATAATTGCCATCATACATACACACACATGCTCTCTCTCTCACACACACACACACACACACACACACACACACACACATATATATAGTTCAATTCTTTAAAATTGCAAGATAAAATATTTATAAGTACAGAGTCATGCAAAAGTAGTTGGTCAGTTTAAACTATTTGTACAGTTGTAAAGAAAAAATATTTCTGTATTTTGTAATAGCACTTAAAAGAGAAAGCCAAATGTGTCAGGTGACCTAAATCTTTTGCACAGCCATTTTTGGTGGGATCACCTGGCCTCTTTCTTTTGCATTCTTAACCCCTGCTACAAAATATGATAATTTTTTAAATTTTTAATTAGTTCACTCCAAGCAAGACACTAAAGCCACTAAGATGTATGGGGCTACTGGAAAGAGAGTGAGAATTCTTTAGAAGGAACTGGAAACCCAATGCTAAAACAAGAAAACCTCTATTCCAGTTCAAAAGACAGAAGAGTGTGAACTGGATGATAGGCTAACCTATTTACTATTCTTGTTCAAAAGACAAGGGAGGTAAGTGAACCTATCAACTAATTAGCTAAGGAAATGATTCCAAATGGGCCAAGGTTTCACCTGTAGAATATGCAGGGCAAAAGATTGAATAATAAGAATGAAATTATTAGAAATTAGAAAAAGTTTAAAATGGTCAAAGACTTTTACACATTACCATAATAATGAATAAATCCCACCTGGCAATGATTGGGAAAATGTTTAAGTGTCATAGAAATGAGTTATTTCAGCTTCATTTTCTTCTTCATCTTTTTCCCGCCTCTTCTTTTCCATACTATTGATCTCTTTGTCTGTTCCTTGATTTTCAGCATCATGTTGAATGTATTTATAATTATACTCTGGCTGCTTTTCCTCATTGCAATCTGCTTGCACTGAAATGTCATGGCAAGAAAACCTGGAATTATAATGAAAATTGTTGAATCAACAGTATACCTGGTCTGCATGTATTGGAATATTCTCACAGGGGTATGAAATTTTATTACAGCAATAAAAACAGACATATTATTGTCAAAGATTAGAGACATGGATTAACCAACACATTCCAGCCAATATTTGCAAGTGAAATGTGAACAATTTGCCTTAATGTATCAGGTTCAGCAATAGCTGAACATGTGATTAAAAACCAGCAGTCTTATAGCCTAGACATATTCTCAGTTCTGAGTAAGGCTAATACTGATTATCACTTGAAAGTTTTAAAATCAATATACATTAAGTCCTACCAACCATCTCTCTGTAAACAGGAGTGGTTGGTGGGCTTAAAAGTATTTAGCATTTAATGTTATATTTGTTGTTTGTATATAATATTAGTGTGGGGTTGCACATTTTTTTCCTTGATTTTTACTTTGATGAGAGTGGACCGCTAAACTGCTTTAGCTGTTTTTAATTATTATATTTTAGTATTACAAACTTATGGTAATATATATATTTTTGTCACTCCACTTTTTTTTTATGATTGCATGTGTGATTGCAAATTCCATGACTCATCAGGGTTCTAAGGGCACCACATGTACTGCCACAGTAGAAGTGGTGTTTCTTGGGCAAGATAGCCTGATGGAGCCCAACCCTCTCCATGCTGAGTTTTGAATTCAATGTTTCCTTCTCCTAGACCGGTTGCCACCTAGAGCGATAGAACTCAGTCTGTCCTGCCATTAATCCATAGCTGGGGAGAAAAGAAGAAGATTCATACCTTTCTTAAGGGTATTAGCATGTAAGTGAATGTAATGGATTTGGCTGGAATTTGAACTCAGCTCTCTGATTCCACAATCCGAGCCGCTATCCACCATGCCCCCTTCCTTTTATTGTTCTAATGAAAATAGTTTAAGTTTAAAAGAAATTTAAGATTTTTATCTGAAAGTGTCACAGTCATCTGCTTTTTATGGCTTTTGAAGGTTATTTAAAGCCAGAAAATATTTTTAGATTGTAAGAATTTTTTTGGAGATAATGATTTACTGATACAAATCCTACTAATTAACCCATGCCTGGATGGAGAGAAGAGGTAGATTAATACTTTCCCAAACGGTATTTTCATGTAAGTGAATATGACAAACCTGACAGGAATTGGAACTTGGTTCTCCAATTTCCAATTCTGAGCCATTATCCATTACATCTCCCATACATCCAACCTTCCATTATCTGGTATTCACAAGCACCATTTTTATTACACTCTGTAAAATCATTCATTTCTGTCTTGTTTTCCTTTTCATCTCATTAATAATGACAATGCTTCATCTAAGAAATTTGGACAACTTACAACTATTACATCTACTACTACTAATCTTATTACTGCTACTATCAGTCAGTCATTTAAGTGCCATATGTGATACACACTTGGGTTATTATGGCTCTTTCACTTCATGACCGACTAGGCAGATTTCTCGCAATAGGCTACAATTTCTTTCTGCAGTAGACCAGTTTCCAGCCAATGCTTTAGGATCCAGTCTATCCTGCTATTCAACCCATAGCTGGGAGAAAACAGATGGATTCATCCCTTTCCCAAGATTATTTGTAAATAAGTGACTGTAATGAACCTACTTCTACTACTACTAGAGGAAATGATCATTATGATAAATTTTAGATGAGTTTGAATTCTAGTTGAGGTCATTACATTCATTTGCAAGCAATTACCCTTGGGAAAGGTATGGGTCCATCTCCTCCCTTTCATCTGTGGGCTAATTAGTAGGACTTGTATCTGGAAAGATCATTGTCCTCCAAATACAGTTAATGCAATATTCCACATGTCCTGAAGGGACATGTTATTTAGAAGAATATATATATATATATATATATATATATATATATATATAATAAAATGGATTATATTTTCTGTTTATACATTATTTTTATAGTTACAATTTATTTAAGTAAATACACTGTTTTAAATTAAACAGTATTAATTACATTTACCAGCTTGAATGTTTGAGAAATTTCGTAGAACTTTATTTTGATAGATACAATTTATTTAAGAAAATATTAAATAATTGTCAGACTCAATCCATTTCATTATATGCTGTCATTGTTTATGTTAAGATATGTTTTGTGAGCAGATATGATTGATTGAGAAAAATTGTGTAATATTGTATTTAAAAACAGTAATTTCAATTTCGCTAACCAGATGTTTCTCTTTAGCTAAATGGTATAGCATGTGAGATCAAATGATGATTTCCATATAGGAATACAGGTTCAATTCCTGTTAGAGAATGCATATTTTCTACAAAATTTCTTGAACCTTCAGGCCAGTAAATGTAATTAATACTGTTTAATTAAAAACAGTGTATTTACTTAAATAAATTGTATCTATAAAAATAACATATAAACAGAAAATACATTAAATATATATATATATATATAACGTCATCCACAGACAGACTGTTTCGCTGTTTACAGCTCATCAGTGTGGCTAGACTTCCGGTTGCCTATATATATATTGTAAATTTACTTATTTAAAGATATGGTTCCATCGCTACACAAGAATTACCATGTTTCAAAAACAGAAGGTAAAAACTTCAAATTCAATTATAGAATTTAATTAAATTAAAGTCCCTAATACTGTTTCATTTTCAAGCGAATTTTGGAACAGAAATAGGGACTTTAATTTAATTTAATTCTATAATTGAATTTGAAATTTTTAGCTTCTTTTTTTGAAACATGGTAATTTCTGTGTAGTGATGGAACCATATTTTTAAATAAGTAAATTTATAATATTTATGCACTGTAGATTTACATTGAGCACTGTTTCGTAAAAATAAAAAAATAAAAATATTAATAAGAACACCGGATTATATATCTTACTGTTCTTTCTCTTTATTATATATATGTTTCATGCTAGCCTTAATTATCTTCCCAGTCCAAGACTATTAAATGAGCAAATCCCGCCTCCAATTTTTTTTTTTACTATGATAATAAAACATCAAAAATTGAAAAGAATAAATAATAGGAAATGAAAATGCAAAACAAATAAATTAACCCAAATAAATAAATAAATAAACAAGCCACTCCCACAAAAATAACTGCCAGAATAGATTACCCACAATGCACCACTGACCCTTATATATAAATAGTTGAGGAAAAACCCAACATTTGCAGCCTGATGATTGCATCTAGCATGAAACAGCCTGTCACCTATGAGTGTTGACTTCAATGTTCACTTTTATATTTATATTTACATACACTCTATCCTTGATATTGAGCACTTTATGCCATAAATATAGCACACCTTATAACTATATTTCTTTATATATCCCTATCTATAAAAGGCAGGATGTGTGTGTGTGTGTGTGTGTGTGTGTGTGTGTGTGTGTGTGTGTGTGTGTGTACACGAATTCACGGCTACAATTTTTGATGGATTTGCACCAAAATTTACATGCATAAGCTCCAAGTTAGCGGGAAGGCCAAGACTGACTTTGCATTTCCCAACTCCCATCGATAGTAGAAATAATCAATGTAGATTGCAGCAATTTTCTACTGGCCAGAGTGAGAACTAATAGCTGGCTGCCACAAATAGGCAGAAAAATTCTATTGGCCAGCGTGAGAGCCAACAGCTGACTGACACGAATGTTAACTAGCATGCTAGCATGCAAAAAATCGATAGCTGCATTCATCACAAGTGGGAAAAATTTAAATCTGCATGGCACTTTACTCCAATTGGCTCATATACTCGCTTAAACTCAACGTTGATTCGGATTCCGCAGAACTGGATTGGGTGTGAAAAAGTATTTGTTGTTAACATTCTTTTTTCATTTGGTTTTTCCAGTTATGAGTCCTTTTTTAAAGCTGATCGTTTTGTGTTCATTTTGTGTAGTTCTTTTTTCGTAACAGATTTAATGTTTAGTATAGAGCTTAGAAAAAATTTGCAGTGTGAGATAGGCAAGAAGTAAGGCATGTAGCAACATCAGCATGGCAAAGGGCACTCCTTTAAAGGCAAGGAAGGGTAAAAATATTTTAAGTCAAGTGATAGTGATTGCTGTATGAGTTGTATGATTTTTGAATCAAGCATGAGCAACGCCGAGCCATGCTGCTAGTGTATATATATATATATATATATATATATGATAAAAAATAGTTTTATGGTATGCTATATTTATGGGTTAAAATGCTCAATAAATAGAGCATATGTAAATATAAAAATGGAATGGAAAAAGGGTGAGTAATAAATGAACAGTAAAATAAAAAATATATGAAAAACACTAATGATCCTTAGACATGGACAGTAGAGTAGAGAACAATTAAATAAAGAGTGCAGTTTGAAATTCCCTGACAGTTACCAGGATTGAGAAGCACATGATGAAAGCCAAAGGGTAGAATTCACAGATAATAAAAGAAAAAAGAAATCTGTGGAGAACCATTATTTTCCACACCTTGAAGGAACACAACATTTGCAAAACAGAATTAAGAAAGAGAAAAATGGTTCCTAAAAACTTTGAACTTCATCACTGTATGACATTTGAAATGGATAAATATAGGCCTTGAAAAAATTTCAGTCGACATTATACCTCCAAATCACTATGAAAATAGTTCATTTTATGTCACAGAAAATGCAATCTTTCAAGTTATAATGATAAGAGATGTGATTAGATATTAGAATATTTATATGACAAACCAAAACCATCATTGCAAATTACTGATTGGGAGATTTTTTAAAGTAAGATGTTTGAAAAGGAAGAATTGTTTTTATTTCTTAATTTGAAGGTCTGTAGTCATATCACATTGAAACAACAATTCTCTTCCAATCTTTGAAATTAAGCAATATTGAACTTGCTAAGTTTCAAGATGGATGACCTCCTGGGAATACTGGTAGTGCCAGAGCATTTCTTATGATTCTTGTGTTCTTGCTTGAAACTGTCTTTGTTGTCTAAGGGTTCATATGCCTTTGAAAGGACATAGACCATGTTTTTAGTGTATTTAAACCATTCAATGATTTCCTTGGCTTTGTGACCAGCATAAATGCTCTCCACAACAGCAGCTTGATGATCATATTCTGAAGACATGCCAATTACTAATGGCCAGACAGCTACTGAGGTAGAGTACTTTCTAATGTTGCTCTCAAAACCTCACTATGCTGTGATGTCCCAACACTGTTGCCATGTAAAAATTCCTGATTTATCTGCACCACACTGTATATTTACATCAGCTTTAAATTAAATTTTAGTAAAATATACAATTATCCCCAATCCACCATGACTGCTTACATCTTGAATGTATATGAGATAAAAAATATCCCTGTGGGAGTTATTCCAAGTGTTTTGACCCTGTGTGTTCTAACATTATAAATGTTTACACACACACACACACACACACACACACACACACACACACATATATATATATAGGGCTTAGGTTGAAACTCTGGTCCTCATACAATCACTGAAATTAAGCAATATCAAGCTAAGTCAGTACCTACATGAGTGACCACTTGGGAATACCAGGTGCTGGAAGCTTGGATGTGCAGGTGGCGTAATGGATAACAGTTCAGAATGAGAAATCAGAGAGACTAGTTCTTATTGCTATCAGGATCGTTATATTCACTTACACCCAAATACCTTTGGAAAAAGTATATATTCACTTCTTGTCCTCCAGCTATGGGTTAAATAGTTGGACTTTTATCAGAAAATCATTATTATTTCCCCTCAAATTATTTCAATCCCAAAATATATTCCAGCTTTAAATAACTGGTGATAAGCCATAAAAAACAAATCAATTTTAATTTTAACTTCAAATATGAAGTGAAAGAGGAAAAATGATTTAAGATGCCAAAGTTCAAATTTAAAAAAATTTATTTTGCTTTATTCCAATGAATGGTGTGTAAGATTAAAATACAAAAAGAAAGTCTCTGGCTAATAAAAGGGTGATGCTGTTCCCACAGTTTTCAAAAGACCAGAATGAACATTTGATTTTTGATAAATATCACTTTGATTTGGTGCAAGCAAAAAAAGATCTCTATTCTAGCAGACAAACCTGTTTTGTTTGAGAAGCACCAGTTTTGAGCGTAGATCATCTAGTTGTTCTTGCAGTAAATCAATCTGATCATCAACGTGGCCAGTTGAGTTACGAAAACGCCCTGAAAAATGAAAAGTCAGGTAAGATTTTAGGTGAAAGAAAGAAAGAAGAAAAGTTTGAAAGTAACAAAAGAATAAATAGGAAAAGAAAAAGGAAAAAACAAAAAGGAAAGTATAAACCAAAGGAAAAGTAATAAATAAAGAAAAAGAAAAGAAAAGGAAAAGGAAGGAAAGAAAGAAAAAGAAAAAAATTAAAAGAAAAATAAAAAGGAAGGAAAATAAAAGTAAAAAGAAAGGAAAGAATAAGAAAAAAAGAAAGAAAAGAAAGAGAAAGGAAAAGGAAAAAGAAGTGGAAAAGAAAAAGGAAAAGAAAAATTGAAAGAAAATGGAAAAGTTTAGGAGAAAAAGCAAAAAAAAGCAAAAGGGAAATATAAAGGAAAAGAAAAGAAAAGGAAAAGTAAAAAGAAAAAAGGAAATAAAAAGGGAAATATAAAGGAAAAGAAAAGGAAAAGTAAAAAGAAAAAAGGAAAGAAAAAGGGAAATATAAAGGAAAAGAAAAGGAAAAGTAAAAAGAAAAAAGGAAAGAAAAAGGGAAATATAAAGGAAAAGAAAAGGAAAAGTAAAAAGAAAAAAAGGAAAGAAAAAGGGAAATATAAAGGAAAAGAAAAGAAAAGGAAAAGTAAAAAGAAAAAAAGGAAAGAAAAAGAGAAATATAAAAGAAAAGAAAAGAAAAGGAAAAGTAAAAAGAAAAGAAAAAGAAAAGAAAAACAAGCAAAAAAAAGGAAAACAAAAAGAATAAAGAAAAATAAAAAGTTAAGAATCAGATTTTACAAATGCTTGAAAAGAAATTCCTATTTTGGTCTTGACTTCACAACCATCAGTCTAATTCTCTACAAATTAATTAATCTTCTGAAATAAAAATAAACAAAACATCAGTTTCTACAAGAAAGATTGTAATTAACATGTCACCCAAAATGAAGCCTTATTAATTCTTAGTTCAGTTCTTTTCCAAGTAATAACAGACATTTTAAACAAGTATAGAAGCCTAAATATTTGAATCTACAATGGTACATTTTCATAATAATGAGAACAATAACTCACTTTTGTTTTTGTTTTTCTCTTCATGTAAAAATGCTGAATTTCCATTGTAAAGTAAAGCTTTAAGTGAAGCTTTATTCAATGCAAATTTGCCCATTTCTTTTATAGTCAAGTAGTTCAAAGGGGAGGCAACTATGGTTACCTTCCAAAATATCTTAGGCAAAATTTAAAATGTATGTTTTCTGATTTAAAAAAAAATGTTTTAAGGTATGGGAATTACCTCACCTTATCTGCTAGAATGTTTTCTAGGAATTGTTCTTTAAAAGGAAAGACAGAAACCCTCTCTTTCTCTATTTTCTCACTCAGAAACAGGATGCAGTAAGTAGCATATCTATCTAATCTTCCCCTTATCAGCAACAAGTTGCAACTCCTTGTGTAAACTGGTGACCAACAGCAACCTTGTCTATTACAACCTGTAGTACCTTTTTGCTATAAAGGAATTATTGGCTTTTGAAAAGTTCCCATATTAATCATACAAGGAGGCATTGAAAATTTCTCAGCCTGACTCAATTCCCAGGATCAGTATTCTGAAGTTTGGCCATTAAAAACTAATTTGGGGCTGTGGGTTGGTCTGGAAATCAAGGCTCACATTTTCCCCTTATTTTGGGGGAAAAGAGAAAATTAGTTTAAGATGGTTAGATTAGTTTTTTGGGGGACAAAAAATTTTAAATTAAATACAAAATTTTAAATTCAAATTCTATAATATTTATTCTAAAAGCTATTTTCTTAAATTAAAAAATAAATTTTTATTCCCACTGACAGTGATGGGCTTTTAATAAAAAGAGTACAATCACACATGAATACATGTGCACAAACACATATCTGGGAAAGAAGAGGTGGATTCATGCCTTTCCCAAGGGTATTTACACATAAGTGAATATGACAAACCCAACAGGAATTGGAACTCAACACTCTAATTAACAATTCTTAGCTATTATCCATTACGTCACCTGCACATCTAAGCCTCCAGCACCTGGTATTCCTAAGCAATCACCCATCTAGGTACTGACCAGGCTTGATGTTGCTTAACTTCAGTGATTGTACAACAACTGGTGTTTCAATATGATGTGCCGTAAAGCATTTGTTCTGTGAACGACTACATTCATTTGGGAAACATTTTGAAGCCAACTTCTGTCTTCTTGTTTTTTTTCAAGCATTTCACCCCCAACAAAGTGAGAGTGCCACCAGCAAACAGGGACTTACAGAGAGTGAAAGTGAGAGAAAAACTGGGAATGAGGAAAAGATAAAAGATGAATAGACAACAGATGATAGTGATTGACATTGCATTTAAATTTTTGAAGACTGTAATTATCAGGGAAGCAAGTAAATGGAAGAGAGGTCCACATGTGATAAGTGTGAGAAAAGAAACTGTTGAAGTAGAAGCTGCCATGAAAATATTTATAGAAAAGACAGAGGGAAGCCACATCATGACAGTGAGAAAGTGACTGAAGACAAGATGCCATGTCAGGACCTGTTCTTTTATTATTCTCCCTCCTTAATAATGTTTTCTTTTTCTCATATTCTTCCAAAATCAGTAACCCCTCGCATCTTTCATCCTGGGTATGATGATAAACTACATCCGACAGTAAGGCCTCTGATCAGGAGGTTTGAGCTATTAATTGCTCTTAATTGCTACTGTACCCAGGTCCACCCTGTTAGGGTCCTAGTTATGAGCAAATAGTTAACCCCCAAACTGGGGTCAAAACACTATCGAAGCATAAAAATGGATTTTTATTAAAAAAAAGTACCAGCAATACATTTCTGAAAAAAAAATATTATCATTACATTTGACTTTTGACAAAAACCCTCTTTACAAAAATACATCAATAAAACTTGATCTACAAACTGATTTCTTACAAAGAATATATATTCTATTCATATGAACCTATCCTAATAATCTTATCAGCATTAAATAACCCATTGAGGTGTTGATATGTTGTAAAGCAAAATAAACCAAACCAAATCAAACTTAGTGGCTTTATTGCCTTGCTCGGGATGAAATGATTAAAAAAACAAAAACAAACTTTCCTTATTTCTTTAGAGCCAGATCCAATGGCTGGCCTTCTTACTTGCTGCTTGGATATACCTTAGGGTTGTACTTTAGGGTCCTTTGCTTGATTACAATGAACCCTTTGCATGTGGATCCCTGCCTTCATTATATTGCCAGTTCATTACCACATTACTTCATTAGTTGATTAAATTTTATGGTGTGGAAGTTAAAAACCAAACTGAGGAATTCCAAGAAACTACAATTAAGGCAAATATATGATTATCATACAGAGTTTAATTGCATTGGAATTATGATTGTTAACATATTGGTCTTACTCCAAGATAAGAACTCACCAAATTTTTCTGTAAGGAATCTAAATTGAACCATTTCTACTCTTTAAGTAGAATTTTAAAAATAAATATTTTGCATATTTCAAGGAGGATTGAGATAAATATTAACTGTTCAATTGTTCTTTATTCATATTATATTTGACCCTGTGATTTTACGATGAATGGTTCTGTTCCCAATGAGGCTCTATGTTTTGAACATCTCATACCAGAGGACAAGTGGAACTCATATATTAAATCACCCAGTTCACACACCTTCTGTCTTTTGAACAAGAGTAGATGTTTATCCTTTGTTTCCTGTTAAGGTTTTGGTTTTCAGTTTCTTCTCCTATAGTCTTATTCTCTTTCACTGCCAGTAACCCTTGCATCTTAGTGGCTTTATCACCTTGCTTGGGGTAAACTAATTAAACAAAATTATCATATTTTGTAGCAGGGGTTAAGAATGCAAAAGAAAGAGGCCAGGTGATCCCCCCAAAATGGCTGTGCAAAAGATTTAGGTCACCTGACACGTTTGGCTTTCTTTTTTAAGTGCTATTACAAAATACAGAATTATTTTTTCTTTACAACTGCACAAATAGTTTAAATTGGCCAACTACTTTTGCATGACTCTGTACTTATAAATATTTTGTCTTGCAATTTTAAAGAATTGAACTATATATATATATACATGTATATGCGTGTGTGTGTGTGTGTGAGCATGTGTGTGTGTGTATGTATGATGGCAATTATTAGAAAGTTTTAATTTAAGTGAGATGCAATGAAATAAAAGTTTTGAAACAATGTGAGATTCACTAAAGAAGAGATGAGATAAGGGTACCTTGGCATGGTGTAATGGTTAGCAAGCTTATCTTGATAAAACAGTTACAACTGAATAGTGAGTTCAATCCTCACTGGGTGCCCCATACTTTTGGCCTCGTGGCACATCTATGCTTAGAAAATCATTTGGCCACAATTCTGCATGTTACAGAATAAATACAAAGAAGAGATGAGATAAAGAATTTACAACTATGATAAAGACTAATGGAAAATCCAAAAGAATAGCGTGAAGCTTGCAACATTTTGTCTGTGTGAAAAAGGTGGGAAATCATTCATCACCTACAAGACCATGAAGACACTTTTGAACTTTTGACAGGGAAATGAAGACTTGGCATAGATTTTGGTATAAAAGTGAGTTGGTTCCAATTGACATAGGAATGACTGCAAAAATATCCTTCTCCTAAAATTTATAAATAAAACATACAGATGCATGCTGGGATTTCTTTCTAGCCAATAAAATTTTAAAGAATTGAACTATATATATATATATATATATATATATATATATATATTATAAATTAATTGATTTAAAATATTTTTTTTCTGCTACACAGTTCTAACCATGTTTCAAAAATGGAAGCTAAAAGCTCCGAAAAAATTCGCTTATGGATGAAATGGAACTAATGTCTTTAATTTAATTACAAAATTAAATTCGGAGCTTTTAACTTCCATTTTTGAAACATGGTTAGAACTGTGTAGCAGAAAAAAAACATATTTTAAATCAATTAATTTATAATATTAATGCTCTGTAAATTTACATTGAGCCCTATTTTGTAAAAATAAAAATATCTATAAGAACACCGGATTATAT